TAGGCATAGCAACATGTTTGCTACACCATTCACGAGTACTTATGAAATAAGATTCGAGTATTGGATCAACCCGCGCTCACTTAAATCACTTCACTGAATTTATCTCGAGTGATCGTGAGACAATAATATCATATAAGTCTTCAAACCAAGATATATGAATTCTGTTTTGACTTATGTGTCAAGAACTAAATTGATGTGTTCAATTATGTTCTATGCCAGACGAATCAGAAAGTGGAAAACAAACTGTTGGACAATAAGTATGACATTGTTCCATGTATTTGTCTAGCTGATATCTTGAGAACAGAGGATTATATGATCCCTTATCTAAAGGATGTGTTACTGACCGGGTCAAAGTTGACAACGGCTTTTGAAAGCTTATGATTGCCAAGTCATATCCTGCACATTGGCAGTTATAGTTACTAGACTTATCCAAGTGGGAGACTGTTGGATTTGGTGTCTAAGCCCATAACTATAACTGGAATGTACTTGACCCAATTGTAGCATGGTCTTTTTTGGTTGCCTTCACTAGTGCAACTTGATAGGATGGATTTAGGGAATACAATAATTTATGGTTTATTAATATATTACAAGTATAATATATTAATATGAAATTATATTATTTAATTAGTATTGATCAAGAAATAATTTGGTATTAATTTTGTGATCAAAAGAGACTAATTAAATATAAGGGGATTGATTATGCAAATCAATCATTCTTGTAGTGTGGGCCAATGATCCATGATTTTGTAGGTAGGCTAAACTAATCCATGGAGAGTCCATGGAGGTTAAACCCATGGAGCATGAGAATGTGGAAAGTCATGGGTTATTAGGGTTTACAAAGTGTAACCCTAGCATGTGCAACACTATAAATAGAACCCCCTAGAGCCAAAATCGGCTAGACCATCTCTTGGAGATAGAAAACTTATTCTCTTAAGCCTCATCTTGCATTTTGGTGTTTGTGAACCAATAGAGGCATCACACTTGAGGTGCTCAAGCTTTCAAAGGTCAAGAGCTCTACCATACATAAGAGGTAAGAAACCAAACCAAGTTTATATTTTTTAGATTCAATTGTATGCTAGATAGGGAGAATGCTTTGGAAAAATTGAAAATGCATGTATAATTAGAGAAAACATGGATCCAAAGCATTAGAGTTACATGTTCACCATAGGAGTGTTATAATGCTCAAAACCCAACATTTATAACTAATGCGTAGTAAGAAACATGGGCATCACATATAACCTCTTTGTACTTAGTCAAATCATTTCTACTTTGACATTCAATGATAAATAGTGGTTCAGGATCATTATTCATAATATCATATGAACCTAAATAAGAAAACATTTCACTTATATTATCAATTTCATTTTGGTCACATAATCTATTTGTTTGACCATAATTTATTGCATTAATTTCCTCTCCTATGGGGATTTTGATGTTCCATGTTTCTCCAGGAACACTTTCCTCATGCTCTAGTGCATCTTCCACTCCTCTTTTTTTTTTTCTGGGGATTTTTATCCTTAGAACCAAACAACCTTCCACGATTTAGGCGTGTTTTAGACTCTTGGTTAACTTTATCATCAAACTTTCCATATGGAATTTCAATTCGAGCTAGAGCATTGATAGATGGTATATATGATTTATTCATCCTTTTGTGTTAGTAAATGCATCAAGCAAATGATTTTCAGTTTCTTGGAAATGCATTATCTTTTGAGCTTTAATTTCACATTGCTTTGTGCGAAGGTCAAGTTATGATAAGGAAGGTTCATGCCATGAAATATACTTTTCTTGAATTTTCTTTTCTCCGACCTAATGGTGGGAAATTTGCCTCATCAAATTGGCAATCAGATAGGCGTGCTGTAAAAACATCACCTATTAAAGGTTTAATAAATCTTATAATAGAAACTGACTCACAACCAACATATATTCCCCCAACTTTCTTTGATGACTTATTTTTGTTCATTGTGGCGGTGCAATGGGGACATATACTACACACCCAAAAATCTTAGATGAGATATATTTGGCTCTTGACCAAAATTAGGTTGTATGGAGAATATACATGATATGAACTTGGCTTCATACGTATCAATGATCCAACATGTAAGATTGCATGGCCCCAAACAGAAATAGGAAGTTTGGTTCTTATTATCAATGTTGTAGCTATTAGCTGTAGAAGTTTAATCAGTGATTCAACTTAGCCATTTCTTGCGTGTACATGAGCAACTAGATGCTCAACAAAAATTTCTACAGACATACAATAGTCATTAAATGCTTGTGAAGTAAATTCATCAGTATAATCAAGTCTCACTCTTTTGATAGTATAATCAGGGAAATTTTCTCATAATTTTATAATTTGAGAAAGAAACTTTGCAAATGCCATATTACAAGTTGATAATATGCAAACATGATACCATTTGTTGGATGACTAGATGGTGGATGAATCGATCCACATATATCACTTTAAATTCTTTCAAGAAATCTAGGTGACTCTCTTTCAACTTTCGTTGGAGAATGTTTTTTAATTAACATTATGAGGGAAAAAGATGTAGATGGTATTTTGTTACTTGATTGAGGGAACTTCTAGTCCTTCAATGGATGTCCATACATATTCTCAATTATCCTTCGCATCATGGTTAATCATGGGTGGATCAACCTATTATGTTATAAACTAAATGTCCAAAGATCACAATGTTTTTCTCTGACTACCATATTTGATTCAACCATATGTATATATGTGTAATGCAAAACAGAATCAAGTGTTGGTCGTTTTTCAAGCACATGGTTTTTGTCTATAATATACATATATTTCGTATTTTCAATGGTCATTGTTTTTGTGTCATATCCTTTGAAATATATGTAACTGAAACTTAGTAAGTTTCTATTAGACTTTGGAGAAAAGATAATCATAATAATCATTATAAAGAAAGTTCATTTATTGAAGAAAATACATTATATGAAAAACAAAGAAAGGAAAAACAGATTTAACGGAGCAACAATAGAAATTTTAGTTTATGTCTTCCATATTGTAGAAATCAGCTGCAATTAGCGGAGTGCATTCGAAATTATCAATGAGGTTTGATTCTTTTCCCTTTCCTTTAATGGACTCTTGATAAAGTTAAGAATGATGTGTAGGCTAGCGATAGGTCCTTGACCAATGGCTTATGCTACCACATCAATAACATGAACCATTAGATTTTTGTGATGTTCCATTATCATGCCTTGCTATTTTGGACTTATCTTGTGTATGAATAGTGTTTCATTGTGTAGATTGATAATTATTCCTTTTCTGGCCACAAACATGATTATTACCTTGTCCACGACCATAATTATGATTCTAATTATGGCTTTGGTTTTGATTAAAGCAGCCAAAGCCTCATCCTCGACCACGACCACATCCTTGTCCATGTCTATTGTTGATGAACATCGGTATTCGTGGCATTTGCTTCAAGAAGTGCTATTGATCATGTTGGATGAAATTCACGATTTTTCATCAAGAGCTCATTATTTTGCTCTACAACAAGCATGTATACATTTATTTTAGAATATTTTGTGAACTTTTATAACCGATGTTGTTGCATCAAGGTAATGTCTGATGCATGAAAAGTGGAGTAATTTTCTCCAACATATCTTCATCAGTAACTCCATGTCCATAATATTTGAGTTATGAACATATTATGAACAAAACTAAGTTGTATTCATTTACATTCTTGATGTCCTGAAATCTTAGTGTTCTCCATTATCTCTAGAATTTGGAAATATAACATCCTTTTGATGATCAAATCTTTCTTTCAATAGATTCCAAAGAATGCTTAGATCACTAATATCAAGATATTCAAATCTCAACATATTATCAAGATGCTTATGAAGGAAAACTTGTGCGTTTGCTTTTTCTTACTCCGAGCACTCATTAAATTCCTATATAGCGTTAGGGATTCTCATATACTCAAGATTTATTTTTACATCTATCATCCATGACATATAGTTTTTTCCACTAACTTCAAGTGTTGCAAACTTGAGTTTTGCAATGTTGGACATAACGTAACCAAAAAATTTAAACAAAATAAAAATATGAAACTCAAAATCCATATATATATATATATATATATATATATATATATATATATATATATATATATATATATATATATATATATATATATTGCACAAACGTAAACGCGGAAGAATCATCACATACAAGCGTAAGAAATGATAAAATACATCTGGTGTGAGATTGAAATTTAGGACGACAAGTGTTATAGTCATTAAAGTTGCAAAAACAAAAACCACGTGAATCATTTATGGTAGTAAGTAATATGATAGTTGTGTCATTTATAGTAGAAAATATAGCTATTATTTTTATAGTTTATAACTGTCGCATATACATAGCCGTTATATATATATATAAAATTTCATTAGGAATAATTTTACTAATTAGAAATAAAAATAAAGGTTAGTAAATGTTTAAATAGAATTATCAATAATATCTAAAAATAAATAAATAAATATTTGTATGTACATATAAATGTTAGTATACATAAATAAAAGTTAGTTGTATAATTTAAATGTTAGTATGCATAATAATGGTTGGTCATAAAAATAATTAGTCGTTAATAATGAATAATTTTTCTTAATTCACTATTATTTTAATGTAGACAAAATTGCAAATTTGGTCCCTGTGGTATGCCCAAACTAGCATGTTTGGTCCAAAATGGGTTTGGCTTGCAAAGATGGTCCAATAGTTTCTATTTGTTGCGAGTTTAGTCCAATGGCTTAACAGCCGTTACCAAGCTCCCGTTAATTTACCCATGCCCCTCTCACTTAAGGGTATTTTAGTCCATTAATCCCTGTAACTGTTCCCGCTAAAGCTCAATAAAAGCAGTTCGTCTCCTCCTCAATAAAGTAGACCGTCGTTCTTTACCAAGATCAATAAAAGCCCTAGACACAAAATCAGTTCTGTTAGTTAAGCTGCGATTTGTAGAGATTATCGGTGGATGAACATAACAATGTGGAATGTAAGGTTGTTAAACACACCCTTCAACCCCAAGGTTGTTTATGGTACGTAATTTGGCCTTTTTCATCTTTTGATTTCTTGATTTTTTTTAAGTAAGTCCAACTGAGGTGTTTTTTTTTCTTGTTTTGAAGATGGACACCCAACATTGTTTACCATTAAGTTGTACCATGGAGGTGAGTTCACCAAGTACCCTGATGTTCGTTACATTGATGGAACTGTAAACTATGTTGACATGGTAGACATAGATGAGTTTTCAGTTCATGAGCTCGATGCAATCATGAAGGGTTTTAGATATGGGGTTCCTCCTGTTATATACTACCATTTTCTTGTGCCTGGTGGAGACTTCCACTTTGGTCTTCGCCCTTTAGGAAATGATCAAGATGTTGCAAACTTTTCTCAATATGTCAGTGAGCACAAAGTGATGAAGGTATACACAGAGCATGGTGAAACAAGACTACTCACCTATTTCTTGAATCCTAAGCCTGTTACCAAGGTTACCCTTGTATAGTTAGATGAACCACATGAGGATGTGCAACACATTGATGAAGCTCCTGATGACCAATCAAAGGAAACACCTGTGATGACTACACCTACTGATAATTTAGTTGATGTGGTGCCCACTCAAGCAAACCAACCTGAAATCCAAGTTAATGAAATAGTTCAAGTCGTATCCTTATCACCTGGATATAATAGGAGAAGGGGTATGAGCAAGGATGGAGTGATGGCATCTTGCAGTAAGAAAATTTACTTTGATGATATTGGTGAGACTGAACAGATAGCTAAAGACTTTGTTGAGGCAGCTACTGATTTTGATATTGGACTCTACCAAAAAATACTACAAAGCAATGTTGATGGAGTCAATGGCACTGACATGCATGATGTCAATGAACCTCAGATGGATGAAGAAATCCAACCTCAAATGGATGAAGAAAACCAAGCTCAGATGGATGAAAACCAACCTCAGTCTAACATGGATAGTAGTGGAAAAGAAAATGTAAGTGAAACAGAGCAGGAAGATGATAGTGATGATAGTGATTATTGGGTGGATGAAGATAATGTAATTGAAGATATTGAAGTTGACATGAGGGATTTTAACATGAGCATTGATACAGAAGTAGAGTTCTTAGATAAAAGGGCTAGGAATCCTAGACAACATGAGAGTGATGAAGAAGCAGATGAGTTAGATGTCATTGACAATGATGCTTTTGATTCCATGGATGAGGATTCTGACCAGGACAGGAAGAGAAGAGCAGTTTTGAAACAACTAAGTAAGGAAAAAAGTTGTTCTTTAGGTGAGGTTCATAAGTGTAATTTTAAAATAGATCAAAAGTATAACAGTAAGCAGGAGTTGAAAGAGAAAATCAAAATGCATGCATTGGAAACAAAAAAGAATATTGCATTTAAAAAAAATGACAAATTTTTGATTGAGGGCCATATGTAATGGAGTTGTGGCATTTACTAATGATGGAGTTGGTGGACCTACCCAAGATGAAAAAAGTAAAGGGAAAATTAAAGGGAAAAGTAAAGAAAAGGACAAACAATGTAACATCCGGATTTTCACCAGGTATCTTGTAAGTTTGAATTTTTATATATTGTGAGAGAGACTCGGCGAGTTGGAGCTCGGACTCGCCGAGTAGGGACGCGGGATTGATCGAGGGTGCGCACTTGGACTCGGCGAGTCCAGGGTATGGACTCGGCGAGTCTGCGCTGTGTTATGAAACCCTAAATCTCCGGGTTTGAGGCCTATTTAAGGGGCCTTATGGCCGTCATTTGTGCTCACCCAAACCCCAGAGAGTGTCCCTAGAGTTCTTGAGCGTTTTGTGAAGGAAAGAGAGCCAATCTTGATCTTGTGTGTGTTGTTTAGCAAGAAGAAGGAGGCCCTAAGCAAGAGGAAGCAAAGGAGGTTGCTATTTCGTGGATTTGGAGCTTGGATCATCAACCTAGAGGTATTATTTTCGGACCATTTTCCGTTTGGTGAAGTTTGATGCAATTTAGGGCTTAATGTGGTCATTTATGGGGTGATTTGGTGCCCCTTTGGTTCCCTCTTTGAGTTGAGACCATGGATCTGGATCCATAGAGGTCCAGAGGGCCTCACTCATCAAGCTTTATGGGTGGAAATGGAGTCCTTGACCTTGTGTTGAAGTATTTGAGTCAAAAACATCATTTATGGTCATGTAGAGGTTATATGTGCATCAAGATTGTGACTTTACGTGCTAAATAAGCTTGGAGGGACTGGATCTATGGATTAATGGACTGGATCTGGCCTTTAGAGCAAGATTGAGTCAGTGCATGGCACGGACTCGCCGAGTCCGAAGAACAGACTCGGCAAGTAGCTTGAATATTGCACGACCACTCAGTGAGTGGCCTCGCCGAGTTGGGATGAGTGAACTCAGTGGGTCAAGGGGGTCAGGATGGTCAGGTGGACCGAGTCAAACCGGACTCGCCGAGTTGTTCTTGAGACTCGGCGAGTTGAGTCGTGGTGGCCCCACAACTCGTGCCAGGTGGAGCTCGTCGAGTTGGGGGAAATACTCGACGTGTCAAGAGAGGATTCCAGGGAAATTGGTGTATGCGCTCAAACTCGCCGAGTCGCTATAGTGCACTCACCGAGTCCGGTCAAGTTGACCGTTGACCAGCGTTGACCTAGATTGTCTTGTTATAGTGTGGTCAACCCTAGTTGGGAAAGTGTTAATTAGAGATGTATTGTGCTATAGGGGGACTTCAGCTCGGCAGATCGAGTGTTTAGTGATTTCAGGGTTACGGCTTACCGAGACACGTGAGGTGAGTCTTCTCACTATACTTTACCTTGAGTAGGTAACCAGAGCTATGTGATAGAGTATTTGTGTGCTATATATATGTTATGTGTTGTACTGCATGATTTCTATGTGATTTATGTGGTGCATGATTATCAGAGTTGGAACCTGAGGGTTCACAGAGTTTGGGTGCACGGACCCACAGAGTTATAGCCTAGAGTGGCTAATATGTGCTATATGTGGTATTTTGGGAAACTCACTAAGCCTTGTGCTTACAGTGTTGATGTTATTTGTTTCAGGTACTAGTGACGACCGCGGGAAGGCGCCGGCTTGATCCGTACACACACGTTTGGAGCTTGACATTTTGATCTTGGGATTTTGTACTATTTTGTTGAACAATTAAAATGGTTGTTTCTATGAATATTGATGGAATTATGTTTTTATAAAAATCGAAAAAAAAAAAATTGTTTGAAAATTCGGTGTTACAAATTGGTATCAGAGCCTTGGTTTGAGGGATTCGGGTACACCTTCGGGGGTATTTGAACTCAAACTGAGGAAATAAAGAGATATTTTCAAAATAAAAACCAAATTTTCTAAGAGTAAAGGGTTTTCCAGGAAGAAACGTGTGTACGATCAGTCAGCGCCCGAACGGTGAATTCCCAAAATATCTTTTGTTATGTAATAACAATTACTGTGATGTGTGTGCATGCTAGAGTAGGCTAGGTATTGCTGATAGGACTAGAGTGGCCTGTTTTGTGATGCCTTAGCTTAGGGAATGGTGAGCTGCTATGAGACGCTGAGAGTAATTAGGTAGCAGCTAGGGCTTTGTGTGAGATCTGTTCAGAGAGATTAAGTATAATAGAGTACTTGGGGACTGGGATCCGAAGAGGACGATTTGGGGTGTGTACCGAGACGGTGCGGACAGTAGTATTGGGCCCGTACTACTAAAAGCACCGGTGCGGTACGCAGTTCAAATAAGAATCTGGGGATGCCAAGAATCAAGGAGGGGTGGGTTGTTGAATGTAAGGGTATTCGAGTGAATTCTAATTATCGCATGTTGTATTTCAGAGGTTGATCATGGTGAGGACACGACACATGCCGGAGGATGCCGGATCTAGTGATGAGGACATTCGACAGATCATTCATGAGGAGGTGGCTGCGGTCATCAGAGCCGAGATACCAGAGATGTTCGGGTCCATTAAGACCGCTTTGATTGAGACGTTTGACGAGCGCTATGCGCTCTTTCTGAGGCTGCGGTTGCAGCAGCTACCGCAGCGATTGCTGCGGCAAGACCCCAGGGAGGTGATGCGATGTTGTTTAGGGAGTTCAGCAACACCAAGCCACCAGAGTTTGATGGTACGCAGGACCCGGTGGCAGCTATGAGGTGGATATCTGATATGGAGGGATGCTTCTTCACTTGCTCGTCCCCTGAGCATTTGAAGGTTCGGTTCGCGCTGAACCAGCTTCGCTTGGGAGCGAAGGACTGGTGGAAGTTTGTGACTGCGCATTTCACACCGACTGAGCTTTCGGCAGTGACCTGGGAGAGGTTCACTTCCATGTTCCGAGATGAGTATGTTCCTCAGGTGGAGAGGGAACGTCTGGCACAGGAGTTTCTGACCCTCAAGCAGGGTACCGAGTCAGTTACAGCGATTACGAGGATGTTTCAGGAGAGGGCGATGTTTTGCCCTGAGCACGTGTCCACCGAGCAGGCACGTATGAGCCGTTACCTGAGCATTTTGAGACGGGATATTCGGGAGTTCGCTGCGAACTCCTCGTACCGGACATTTGCCGAGCTTCAGGCAAATGCTCGGAAGAGAGAGATTGAGCTTGAGACTCAGGCCAGGGAGGAGGCGGAGTCTATGGGGAGGGATCGGCGGCCGGCACAGTCCCAGCCGGCAGCCAAGCGGGCCAAGCCCGCTGATCCCAGACCCGGGAGCCAGAAGGGCCGCACTTGTGGGAAGTGCGGCAAGGGTCACGATGGCGCCTGTCGGGCAGGGTCTTGCTACAAATGTGGCAAGGAGGGGCATATGGCTAAGGACTGCCCCAAGGGATTTGCAGTGTGCTTCCACTGCAACCAGACTGGACACCGGAAGGCGGAGTGTCCGCTGCTGCGCGGGGCATCTCAGGGGTCTGCTCCCACCGCCATCAGAGCTGCTGCTGCAGAGAGCCGGCCCGTGAAGGCCGAGGCACCGAGGGCTCGGGGGAGAGCCTTCCAGCTGACTGCGGAAGAGGTCCGCGCTGCACCCGACGTTGTGGCTGGTATGTTTCCTTTTCATTATTGTTTATGGTGTTGAGATATTATGCTTATATTATGCTATGCATAGGTACCTTCCTTGTGAATTCTGTACCTGCTTTAGTGTTATTTGACTCGGGTGCGAGTCAATCTTTTGTGTCTTTGGCGTTTAGTCAGCGTATCAGTGTTAGTCGGGGGACATTGAGTCGGCCCCTGCGGGTTTCCATAGCCGCTGACAGGGTGATTTGTGCTACTGAGGTCTTCAGGGGATGTGTATTGGAGATATTCGGGGTTGAGTTTCCGATCGACCTGATTCCGATTGCGATGGGTGATGTCTGTGTTATAGTGGGCATGGATTGGTTGAGCCGATTCGGTGCGGTTATCGATTGCGAGCAACAGCTGGTGACTATACGAGATCCTAGTGGGGGAGTTCTTTCAGTATACGGCGAGGGTACACGTTCTGGATCAGCCTTTTGTTCGGCTGCTAGGGCGAGGCAGTGTTTACAGCAGGGCTGTAAGGGTTATGTAGCGTATGTGATGGATACGCGAGTGATCTCTGAGAGACCGAGCTCTGTGGAGGAAGTTCCGGTGGTGCGGGAGTTTCCAGATGTATTTCCCGAAGAGTTACCAGGTGTGCCTCCCGTGAGGCAAGTGGAGTTTGGCATCGATTTGGTTCCGGGAGCCGCGCCTATTGCTAAGGTGTTGTATCGCCTTGCGCCTCCAGAGATGCAGGAGTTATCCTCGCAACTTCAGGAGTTGCTGGGGAAGGGGTTTATTCGGCCGAGTAGCTCGCCGTGGGGAGCACCCATCTTGTTTGTGAAGAAGAAGGATGGCTCGCATCGCATGTGTATTGATTACCGGGAATTGAATAAGCTGACGGTCAAGAACCGTTACCCGCTGCCGAGGATCGACGATTTATTCGATCAGCTACAGGGAGCATCTTGGTTCTCCAAGATTGATTTGAGGTCGGGCTATCATCAGGTGAGAGTGCGGGACGAGGACGTCCAGAAGACAGCATTCAGGACGCGTTATGGGCATTATGAGTTTGTGGTGATGCCTTTTGGGCTCACTAATGCCCCGGCTGTGTTCATGGACCTCATGAACAGGGTATGTCGGCCGATGTTGGATCGGTCGGTGATTGTTTTCATTGATGATATTCTGGTATATTCGAGATCTAGTGAGCAGCACGAGGAGCATTTGAGGGAGGTGCTTGGGGTTTTGAGAGCGGAGAAACTTTACGCAAAGTTTTCCAAGTGCGATTTCTGGTTACGGGAGGTCCAGTTCCTGGGACATCTCGTTAACCAGAAGGGGATATTGGTCGATCCGGCCAAGGTTGACGCAGTGATGAGGTGGGAGGTGCCGAGGTCACCTTCTGAGATCCGGAGTTTCCTCGGGTTGGCAGGGTATTATCGGAGATTTATTAAGGATTTCTCCAAGATTGCGGTTCCACTCACCAGATTGACCCGGAAGGGTGTGGCATTCGCATGGGGTCCCGAGCAGCAGACCTCCTTTGAGACGCTTCGCCAGAGGTTGTGTGAAGCTCCAGTATTAGCCCTTCCGGAAGGTATGGAAGATTTCGTGGTATTCTGTGATGCATCGATCCTAGGATTGGGAGCAGTATTGATGCAGAAGGGTCATGTGATAGCTTATGCATCGAGGCAGTTGAAGCCTCACGAGACGAGGTACCCCACGCATGATTTGGAATTGGGGGCAGTGGTGTTCGCCCTCAAGATTTGGCGGCACTACTTGTATGGGGTTCGTTGTACGATTTACACGGATCATAAGAGCTTGAAATACTTGATGGATCAGCCTAACCTAAATATGCGGCAGAGAAGATGGTTAGACGTGGTCAAGGATTATGATTGCGAGATCTTGTACCACCCGGGCAAGGCTAATGTGGTAGCCGACGCGTTGAGTCGCAGGGCGGAGAGTACTCCCCTGCGAGATGTATGTTTGAGATTGACCGTGATAGCTCCAGTTCTGGACGCCATTCGTGGGGCTCAGGCAGAGGCCGTGCGTCCGGAGATGCAGAAGAGAGAGCGGGTTGTTGGGTTGGTTTCTGAGTTTATATCGGATAGTCGAGGCCTTATGACTTATCAGGGTAGGATCTGGGTACCGTTCGTGGGCGGTACCCGTGCCACATTGTTGGAGGAGGCTCATAGATCGAAATTTTCGATCCACCCCGGGGCCACGAAGATGTATTTGGACCTAAGGAAGGAGTATTGGTGGCCCTGTATGAAGAGGGATGTAGCATGGTTTGTCGAGAGGTGTTTGACCTGTCGAAGGGTAAAGGCCGAACACCAGAGACCGCATGGCAAGTTGCAGCCATTGGAGGTTCCCGAGTGGAAGTGGGAACAGATCACTATGGACTTTATCACCAAATTGCCGAGGACTGCCAGGGAGTTGATGCAATTTGGGTGATTGTGGATAGATTGACAAAGAGCGCTCACTTTCTTGCCATCAGTGAGAGTTCTTCAGCAGAGAAGTTGGCGGAGATTTACGTGAGGGAGGTTGTATCTCGGCATGGGGTGCCGATCTCGATTGTTTCAGACCGCGATGTGCGTTTCACTTCCCGTTTTTGGAAGAAATTTCATGAGGAGTTGGGTACTAAGTTGCATTTTAGTACCGCATACCACCCCCAGACCGACGGTCAGAGTGAGCGGACGATACAGACACTCGAGGACATGCTTCGAGCTTGTGTATTGGACTTTGGGGGTAGTTGGGACTCGTATTTGCCTTTGGCGGAGTTTTCCTACAATAACAGCTATCATTCGAGCATTGGTATGCCGCCCTTTTGAGCTGTTGTATGGTAGGAGGTGTCGGACTCCCATATGTTGGGGAGAGGTTGGGCAAAGGTAATGGGCAGTACAGAGATCGTGAATCAGACGACAGAGCAGTACAGCTGGTCAGGCAGAGGTTACTGACCGCTCAGAGCCGACAGAAGAGTTACGCAGATAGACGCCGGTCCGAGCTGGAATTTCAGGTCGGCGACTTTGTTCTCCTGAAGGTTTCTCCTTGGAAAGGAGTGATCCGGTTCAGGAAGAGGGGCAAATTGGGACCCCGGTTTATTGGCCCGTTTCGTGTGATTGCCAGGGTAGGCCGGGTAGCCTATCGGCTGGAGTTACCAGCAGAGTTGGGACAGATTCACAACACTTTTCATGTATCGCAGTTGAGGAAATGTATAGCCGATGAGTCGGCAGTGGTTCCACTAGAGGATATTCAGGTTGATGCGAGCCTGAATTATGCGGAGAGACCGTGGCTATTAGGGATCGGAAGATCAAGATTTTGAGGAAACAAGGAGGTACCTCTGGTATTGGTTCAGTGGCAACATCGGAAGGGATCAGAGATGACCTGGGAGCCGGAGGGTATGATGCGGGAGCAGCATCCGGAGCTGTTTTAGAGCGGGACTTCGAGGGCGAAGTCCAGTTCTAGTGGGGGAGAGTTGTAACATCCGGATTTTTACCAGGTATCTTGTAAGTTTGAATTTTTATATATTGTGAGAGAGACTCGGCGAGTTGGAGCTCGGACTCGCCGAGTAGGGACGCGGGATTGATCGAGGGTGCGCACTTGGACTCGGCGAGTCCAGGGTATGGACTCGGCGAGTCTGCGCTGTGTTATGAAACCCTAAATCTCCGGGTTTGAGGCCTATTTAAGGGGCCTTATGGCCGTCATTTGTGCTCACCCAACCCCAGAGAGTGTCCCTAGAGTTCTTGAGCGTTTTGTGAAGGAAAGAGAGCCAATCTTGATCTTGTGTGTGTTGTTTAGCAAGAAGAAGGAGGCCCTAAGCAAGAGGAAGCAAAGGAGGTTGCTATTTCGTGGATTTGGAGCTTGGATCATCAACCTAGAGGTATTATTTTCGGACCATTTTCTGTTTGGTGAAGTTTGATGCAATTTAGGGCTTAATGTGGTCATTTATGGGGTGATTTGGTGCCCCTTTGGTTCCCTCTTTGAGTTGAGACCATGGATCTGGATCCATAGAGGTCCAGAGGGCCTCACTCATCAAGCTTTATGGGTGGAAATGGAGTCCTTGACCTTGTGTTGAAGTATTTGAGTCAAAAACATCATTTATGGTCATGTAGAGGTTATATGTGCATCAAGATTGTGACTTTACGTGCTAAATAAGCTTGGAGGGACTGGATCTATGGATTAATGGACTGGATCTGGCCTTTAGAGCAAGATTGAGTCAGTGCATGGCACGGACTCGCCGAGTCCGAAGAACAGACTCGGCGAGTAGCTTGAATATTGCACGACCACTCAGCGAGTGGCCTCGCCGAGTTGGGATGAGTGAACTCAGTGGGTCAAGGGGGAGTCAGGATGGTCAGGTGGACCGAGTCAAACCGGACTCGCCGAGTTGTTCTTGAGACTCGGCGAGTTGAGTCGTGGTGGCCCCACAACTCGTGCCAGGTGGAGCTCGTCGAGTTGGGGGAAATACTCGACGTGTCAAGAGAGGATTCCAGGGAAATTGGTGTATGCGCTCAGACTCGCCGAGTCGCTATAGTGCACTCGCCGAGTCCGGTCAAGTTGACCGTTGACCAGCGTTGACCTAGATTGTCTTGTTATAGTGTGGTCAACCCTAGTTGGGAAAGTGTTAATTAGAGATGTATTGTGCTATAGGGGGACTTCAGCTCGGCAGATCGAGTGTTTAGCGATTTCAGGGTTACGGTTTACCGAGACACGCGAGGTGAGTCTTCTCACTATACTTTACCTTGAGTAGGTAACCAGAGCTATGTGATAGAGTATTTGTGTGCTATATATAGTTATGTGTTGTACTGCATGATTTCTATGTGATTTATGTGGTGCATGATTATCAGAGTTGGAACCTGAGGGTTCACAGAGTTTGGGTGCACGGACCCACAGAGTTATAGCCTAGAGTGGCTAATATGTGCTATATGTGGTATTTTGGGAAACTCACTAAGCCTTGTGCTTACAGTGTTGATGTTATTTGTTTCAGGTACTAGTGACGACCGCGGGAAGGCGCCGGCTTGATCCGTACACACACGTTTGGAGCTTGACATTTTGATCTTGGGATTTTGTACTATTTTGTTGAACAATTAAAATGGTTGTTTCTATGAATATTGATGGAATTATGTTTTTATAAAATCGAAAAAAAAAAATTGTTTGAAAATTCGG